AAATATTAATATTTATCACAACTATGAACATGACATTAAAGAAAACCAATTTTTATCATTTAAAAAAAACCTTTAAAACACCATAAGAAATTCAAGCGCCGAAGATTTTCGGACTCTGGAGGTCTTTAAGTTGAGAAAACTAAAAATTGTATCACATACACATATAATAAAGACAAATATACAGTTACGCCATTATAATTATTTTTGAAAAAAATATTAATTTTTATCTTAAATTAAATTTTAAAAAGTTGCATATACGCCCGGTGGCTTAGAACATAGTTTATATAGTTATAAGAAGACAATTATAATATGTTATATACTTATAATTATCCTATAGATGGGAAAAACTAAACATGGAGATAATATTACATTATATAAATAGGATTTAAGTTACCTGTGGTCGATGTTGTTTACATGTCAACAGAACACAGAACTTGCTTCGAGACCAGTAGATAACTGAAGCTGCCTTATCAAAGTGCCCTGTACTTCAGGCAGCCGCCGCCAGTCAGCGCCACCGTTCTGATCAATAGTATAGGCTTCATATCCACTAGACTTCACAATAAATAGAACAATTTATAACTTATATACAATTAACTTAGGCTTTATATATATCTTTATTTGTTTAGAAGAACATATCTAATTTGTACATCATTAAATCTTATACATGGTAATATATAAATCAAGATATTTCACACCATCAAGACCTGTTGAAAAGTTATCAATGATCAATTAAAATTCTTAAATGGGGTATTGATAATTAATAATAGGACATTTGATAATTGTTACATTGAAGAAACGGGTAATCATTTGTAACTTATAGCTACATCATGTTATTATTTTGAAATTAACACAATTATAGCATGATACAAGAGATACAGACATACAGTGACCAGCAAAAGTGTTTGTACATGGACTGATAGGACATAAAAAAAAAAATCAACAACAATTCTTTACTACATAGCTTTTTTTTATTTAAGCACTTAATTAAATTAAAACTCATGAACTGTTTCATTAGATAAATCTTTAGGATATCCAGGCACATGTTTCATTCTGATACACCAAATTGAAGTAACTTTATTCAATTTCCTGAAGACAATCCTCCTTGGTGTTTTCCTTTTCATAGAACTCAAAACCCTCCCTACATCCTGGAACTGCTTACTCTAAGTTTCTCTATCCACTCTCTTAATACCATGTGGTCTCAACCTATAGATTTATATATCTCCTCCCATAAAACTACTTCCTTCATGCTACCTCCTTTTGGAACTCTCTTCCTACTTCTATACGTCAATCCTTATCCACAAATTCCTTCAAACAACTCCTGTTCCATCACCTGCTCCACATTCAAAGTTCCGCAAACATGTAAAATTACTTGCATATGTATACTGTTTAATTTTAATCTACTGCACAGTTGCAATAACGATCAGCAGTTTATTATTTATTATTTTTTATTATTCTATGCCAGAATAATAGCCATAAATCTGTAAATATGTTATTGTTCGTAGGAGACTGAAGTATCAGAATAAAATAATTTTTTCATCTCATTTTATTAATTATAACTGATGTCTAATAATTTATTTCTGGTGTTATTTTCATAGGTTGTTAGGGCTAGTATGACAAAAATGGATATAGAACAAACATTCAAATTTTACCATGTTAGTAATCTTTAGCTCCAAGCTCTTCACACACAGGAATGGCTGCTGTATAGTTATTCAAATAAACACGAACTAGTGTACTCTCAAGAGTACAGATTTGAATCTCATCAAACATATATGAGTTAATTCACAGTTCAGAAATCAAAATATAACATCAGTAAAATATCTTAATACTAAATTGTATGAAGAATGGGAAAAAATATCCTACCGATTCAATTCAAAGTTGATTCAATCAATGATAGTAAAAAATGAAGGATTTGCTGTTATCTTATACTATAATTTTTATTAAATGTATGTATTTTTAGGCAAATATTTTTGAAAAAAATTGATAAGAGTGGTATTGATGTTATAATTAGGCATTTAAATAAAAAAATATGTAGAAAGAATTGTTTTTATTGATTTTTTAAAAATTTATATAAGTCCGTAAATGAAAAATTTTGCTGGTCACTGTATCAGTTTGTTTTAACTTCTTCCTTGTAAATTTAGTCATAATTTTATCAATTTGTTAATTTCATTTTATTTTTGTCAGTCAAGAGGCTAGATGATTCTTTGGGCAAGCTAGTATTATTTAAAAAAATAATAAAATGACTTAAGAATAATATAATGTTGCATAGTGCATATTAAGGAATATTTCTCATATTAAGGAAGTCATTACGGAATATTTCACAAAATTATACAATTAAGTACTCTAATGGATTTTCCCTCAGTGGAATCAGAATATTGTACACATAGTATAAGTATTTTTAATATATTTAAAAGTAATTGCTTCATTTGGATAATCTTGTTTTGTTTTTTTGCGTTGATAAGGAGGAAATTTTCAAAAATGTACTTAAAAGTATAACTTAGAGTGCTACCAATGGGTAGTTTCTCAACAAGTGTTTTCATGTTATTGTATTATTACCATGTGCACATTTACTAGACGTATTTTTAAATGTATACAATTGTAAATCTCATGAATAAATAAACAAAAAACTAAAATAAAAATAAAAGTATAACTACATAAAAATGTGTGTAGTAACTTTCTGCAATAAACTGACGATGTGTACGTTAAAACATTCAAAAATATATTTTGTCACTTTTATATTAATTATAGACAATTGTTGCAGTCTACAGGATTATAAAGAAGTAGGTGATGAATTTTGTAGAGGAATTATATAAAGAAAAATATATTGATTGTATTGCATTAATATATTTTATATTATGTATTAATTTGCAGACATCAATTAAATTGGGCATTCTCAGTAGATGGTTATCCAATTGTTCCTGGAAGTGGAGGCTGCAGTAAGAAAACTTTTCAAACCTAATATGTTTGAGGAAATCCAAAGAGTGTGTAGTCTCATGGTAGATTCTGAACCCCAAATTTTTCAACACGTTTCGGAATTTTCATATTTAGATTCAAAGAAGTGAATGAGTGTAGAAATCAGCAAGAATGTACTCTGCTACTATGGAGTTAGTTAGCACTTAAGAAGACTCTTAGTAATCTAGTGTAGTAAAATTATTCAATGAATTTTCTCATGTGATCGGTTACGACTTATGGATTCGAGACCTGGAAGACAACTAAGATTGTGGTGAATTAAGTTGATACTTATCGATTTATTACTTAGTAGCAAACACAAAAAAAGAAAGAAATAAAAAAGGGATGCCTGCCAATCACTGTAGGTGGAGATCTTGACTTGCAAGAATGTTGTAGCACCAGACGGTATAGATGGAAATTCATCTATTATACAAATTTACAGGAAGATATCTAGTATAAAAAAGCAAATGTATGACATATCAAAAAATCTGAAAAGCAACTTAAATGTTATCAATTTAACACTTGGGAATCACAGTTTCTAATACTTTAATTTTAAGTCTAAGGTTTATCAAAATTAGTGAAACTTTTTTGGAATTACCTCATTATTTGAAAGTTGTGGTCTTAAGCTATTAACAATGCCACAGACTTAATACTCTGCAATTTCGGCCATAAGCATTGCTAAACAAAAATAGAACAAAGCAATAGTTGTAAGGATGATGTATAATAATACAACTGCAAGGGATAGAGAGACTGTAATTTCAAAAATTCTGTGAGTGAGGGTAGACAATATGGATTTAACAAAGGTCATAGTTAGGATTCCAATCTAAGAGATTGCTCTTGGATATTATAGAGTATAATTTTGACAGATTATAAGTGGTAGTTGATTGATTCCGCAAGTTACATAGGCAAGGTAATATAGACAATGTTTTGGTGCATCAGAAGACAAAAATATTTTAAAAAAAATTAAAAATTTAAAATATTAAAAAAAACAAAAAAACAATAAATTTGATATTATTCCAAACAAGTATAGATGTACAATAAACTGATATTTTAATTAAAAATGAAAAAGAATTGTAAATACATAAAATAATAAAATATTGCTTGAAAAGTACTAGGATTCACCTGGATTGAGCAATCTGAGTTTTTAATTATTGAAAATCCAAGAGCCCGAAATTTAAATATAGTCAAATAAGTGAACGATTTTTTGGAGAATAAGAATCAAAGATGGTGGAAATAAGACTTAGGCTTTTTAATAAAAATATTTTAAAACCTTTCCATATGCAATTTTTAAAATAAGCATGATCAAGCTACACAATGATTCTTTTAATAATAATAATAATGAAAGGCTTAGCGAACCCGAAGGTTCGATGCCAACACCACCAATCGCACATTACTATGATTCTTTTAAGAGAGGATAAATAACACAGTGCCACCCTTAGACATTCGACGTTCCTGGGCAATGGCGTCATCTTCTCCTCCTCCCTCTAAAAAACATTAAATTTATTTCTTAAGCTGTTTTGTATTATGTAATACTTGAATATTATTTTATTAAACATTTCTCTAATATAGTTGCTTAATTGATCGGCTAAAATGTATTATTTTAATATGTTTTGTCTTTTATTTTTTAATTTATAAAAACTGGCAAACACCCTTAAAAATTGGCCAGCGCCCCTACAGGCACTTCTCTACATTGATGCCCTGGGTCGATTGCCCCGGTTGCTCCACCTTAAGGCTGGCATTGTTTGGGCGAGACTGAGTAACGCCCATATTGCCCCATTTTGAGAAATATTGTTGAAAACATAAATTTAACCTGTTACCAATTTCTTTAGTAAAATAAAATTTTACTGTAGCTTATCATATTTCACTTTCAAGATTTTTACATATTTTTTTATTTGAAGCTGCATACACTGGAATTAATCTAAACCACAAATAAAAGCAACTTGTTTTGACGATACCATAGCTGAATTTGATTTTTTTAGGGTTAGAAAACTAAAAGGATTAGGCTATGCTTAACACTATAAATATAAAGTTAAAGTTAAATAAATATAGAGAAGTTGTTGTAATTGGATGGTTTATTATATCTGGGAGTTTGCAACTATGGATTCTACATTGTATCTTATTTCTACGGTGAAGTGCGTTTTTCATTTTATTGATAAAAAATATAATCAGTGCAGCACCCTTTAATTGTGGTTGGCTTCTCTTCTTGACTTGATAGAGCTCTCGACTTGCTGTTTATCCTTGTATTTATTTTTTCATTCTTACTCGATAGAATTAATAGTCTTGGCTGAGACAGAAAATTATTAGTTGCTTATTTTATAAATTCTTAATACACACACTAATTTAAAATTATAGTATTCACATACTAGAAGCTGAATTCAAGTTAAAGTATTATCACGTAATTTATTAACAAGAACAAAAAAAAAAAAGATTATACAATAGTAATTTTTTTTAATTTTACTTTTTTTTGGATAGTATTATGAAAAAAAAGTATGGTGAAAAAAAAAATAAGTATGGTAAATGCAGCACTTATGGATAGAGAGCCCAGTTCTGGAAAGGTTGAAATAATAAGCTTCCTTGTTGATTTGAAGGTTCCAGTTTTTTTTCATATTGAAGAACAATGCCCTCTTTTGAAAACTAATTGAACAAAGTTCCCAAAAAAGATATTAAAATGTCTATCATTGTTGTTTCTATAGTGCTCTTGAGATCAGCGTGTTTCATACCTCCCTACTAACAGTTTTGCTAAGAGTAAGTTCAACGTTTACGTTATCTTATTTTTATAATTAAATAAATGTTTTAGAATTTTTCTGAGGTATGTCTATTTCTGGCACCAACCCCCTGTCCATTACTAGAACAATTGAATTTCAGAGTGTCCATCACTAGTGCAAAAATGTATTTTTTTTTAAAATGGAGATCATAACTGCATTACTGTATATCTTTTAAATTGTAAAATGTTAAATAGAAAAAGGAGAATCTCAAAATTCTAAATATACAACAGAGAAGTTTATAACCATAATAATTATGGTGGCATAAGCCAAAAAAGGAAAAAAATTTCTTAGCTATATCCATCATTGGTGTGCTTACCATACAAAATATAAGTAAATTTATCTCAAAATCATACCTAGAATTTCTAAATGTTATCTTAATGAATGAATGCTATTTATTTTTCGGTTGTGAAATTACTTAACTCACAACTTCTGTCCCGAAACATAAAAATTAGAATTAAAAAAACTACTAAAACTTCTTGTGGTTCTTTAAAGATGTGAAATATGGCCGCTTTTATTAAGGGATGCATAATACTTGAAATGTTAATTATTTTATAGTAACTATCTAATGCTCATTTTTTATTTTACTCATTAATTGGTCACTTCTGGTGTTAGGATTAGTTATCCTATGGTTAACCAACCTATTCTAATCAGAATGGGAGAAATGAGATTCATTCCGCGGGTCTACTAACAGAATAAATTTCAACATGTCCAGACTGGAATCAAACTAGTAAGAATCAAACGTTGATTCTGAGTCGATGTTGCTAAGGTGACACATTGTCTATACATGGCCATCAAACCCTCAATGATTCACTGACTCTATTTATTTAATTTTAAATTTTTTTAGATTTTCCAAATAAGTCATTATTTGTAGTAAAAGCAATAGAAATATGAATAAAGTTTAGGTTATCAAAAATCAATAACATGGCATGAGTAAATGGTAATATATTGGTGCTTAAGACGAAGGTAAGAAAAGTATTAGAGATTTCTGAAGCCAAAAAACTTCTGCACCACTCCTAATTTTTTTTATTTTCAAGATGTTTCAGCAGTCAGGCCATCAGTTGAGTGGCTGTCCTAGATAGCATGTTTTAATTTCAAGAAATTTTATTTTAAATTTAATTTAACATGATTATCAATATGCAACTGTAAACCAATTAATGGTGGCCTAACAGCCATCTTGACAAACATCTCGAAAATAAAACATTTTTGGTACGGTGAAGATATTTTTTCACTCTCAGAAATCCATAGTATTATTATATGGAAATTTTCAAAATTATAATATTTATTATATTGATATTAGTCAATCTTCCACTTAGGAACAAAATTTCTTTAAAAAGTTAAGTACTCAAGTCGAATAATACACTAATATTTCAATGCAACTAAATATGTCGATAAATAAAAAATTACCTTTGTATCTGGTTTTCCTGGATCCTTTGGCACTGGAAACTAGGAAAAATACTGGAAAAGTCTGCCGTCGATAGCCTGCCATGATCAATCTAGTTCGAGCTGCTGACAAAGAATAATCATCAATATCATTGGCAGCTAATATTAAAAGAAAGTCAATTAGGATGAATTTGAAATAGAAAACTATAATCAACATTCATTTCATATTTTAGAAATGTAAATGCATTGGTTAAAAGATAAAATAGATGAAAACATTAAAAATAAATGAATAATCAGTGGAGATAAGGATACTGATAACTAACAGAGCAATTTTATAAATAGATTTTACAATAAAAAAAATACATGGCTCTTTTAACATTTTATTCTATAAAATTCTTTAATCGAAAATCAATAATAATAATAATAAAACAACCATTTTAGTTTTTATTAAAATAGTTAATATTTGTGGTCAAAGCATGAAGGCTGTCTTCAGAACAAAAGCAGTTAACAACAAAGCTGGTAGGAAAGCATTTACACTGAAACTGTAGTTGATCTCTGATGAAAATTATTCTCTATACATTCGGAAAATAAGTGAATCAAAGTATAATGTAACAAATTTCTAAACATTTATTTTCCTTGTAAATTATGATATTATGTGCTTATTTTAGCATTGTAACATAAACAAGCCAAGCTCCTTGGTTAATCTCATGATTTTTCAATAGATTTGAAAATTATGTCTTTAAAATAATTTATAAACTTTATTTGTTATTTTTACAAAGTTTTATTTCTTTTCTCTTCATCGCTTAATAAACAACTGCCAGTGTTCAACGACAACCAGCAAATGTGATTACAGTAATCAAGTAGTATGGAAAAGGGCATGATAGGAATGAGGAAGAGAATCATCCAGCAGGTTATCTGCAGTCATGTATTTCATTACTCAACGAGGTCTCACTTCCAGCTCCTTCTCAGCCTTCTTTGGATATGATTGGGCATGTTTTTCTTGGTCCTGTCATGAATTAGTCTATTGGGGTGACCTTGAACCTTTTGGTAAAACCTTTTGAAGTATGTGTTGTAGTAGTATGTGTGTTGGTCCGTATGTGTTGGTTGACAGTTGGAATTCTTAAATCTTTGTGAAGCGTGATATTACTGACATACCAAGGAGCTTGTGTGATTGTTCAAAACATTTTGGCGGTAAATATTTGTAGTTTATTTATATGTGTTTTTTTTTGGAAATTCCGTATGTTTGTGAGATATATGTCCAAATTGGTTTTAGTAGATATTTATATGTATTAAATTTTTGTCGAAGATCTAGCTTTATGCGGTATCCTAGGAGAGAGTACAGTAGAATCTGTTTCAGGGTCTTCCGTTTTGCTGTGATGTGTGAACCCCATGTCATCCTTTGGTCAAAAGTTAGCCCTAGATAATGTAGTTAATCAGATTAAGTGATGTGTTCATTATTGAGATAGACTGGTGGGCAGGTCTCGCTTTGGAGAGAATATGTGATATGGTAGGATTTGTTTTGGTTGTCTTCTTTTACATTTGCACCAGTAGTGTATTGTCTGTAGGTTAGTTTGTAAAATTAGAGAGGCATATGTGGGATCATTGTGCCTTGAAATAATGGTGGTATCGTCTGGATAAGTGGCTGTCAAAGTGTTGTTGGTGACAAGTATGTCGTGTTCAAAAAGCATTAAATTGGTAAATGAAGGTGAGCCATCAATTATCTATAATCAGTCCAATTGTTAATCAATTATCTATAATCAGTTCAAATGTTAATCAATTATGGTGTAGAGATGGTTGACCGTGATTATAATATGAGGAGTTGGTCGGGAGTGCGGTCAAATAAATACTATAAAATAAAATACTATTTTAGTTAATAGTATTTATTTGACCACATCTCTTACCAACTCATTCTCATGCTAATAAATTATCTGGAGACTATAAGACTATAAAATAAAAAATATGGCTTTTAATTATATAACAATGACAATTACCATAAGATTTTTTGGTTTTAACTTTTTAGCATCGCTCGAACTGCTTCCAGGTAACTCCTGTTCCAGCTGTGTAAACAAAATAATGAAAACATTTATTGATAATCTTACTTGTAATACAACTTTATTTGCAATGGAAAATTAAATATAATTATTTAAATGAGGACCCCACGCGTTACACGTGTTTCAGAATAACTTCGGTTATACTTGTTCATCAAATGCTAAAAACAGTCTTTTGGAATAAACCTGAATGCATTCGGCACTCTATGAACAAGTGTGAGCGATATGATTGTGAACCGTAACCCGTGAGTTCCTCATCTAAATAATTACCAAATTAAATACTTTAAACAAAACAGGACTATCAGCAAGACTTTTGAAATTTGAATGAACTGCACAAAATAAATCAGGGTATGATATTTAATAATTATAAACACATCCAATTATTAGCTATTGAGATTAACTAATAATATAATTATTTCAAACATTTTATCAATTTATAGGTGTCATATTCTGATTTCTATTGTGCAGTTCAATTAAATTTCAAAGTTTTGAACATTGACCCTTATAGTTTTATGGCACTGATATAATTTAAAACCTTAAAACTAAATAAATTACTTATATTGCACATTTATAAATTTACAAGGCAAACAATTGATTTAAGAGATAGAATAAACAGTACATTCCTTTTATATTTATCATAAACATTATTAAAGGAATAGAATTGATAATAAGGAATAATTAGTGTAAGATTTTTTGCATTTAATATGAACATTCCGTCAGACTTTGTTCAGGATGTAATTTAATACAAATAACTTGAAAACTATAAGGAATTAGAGTAAACATCTTTTACATATTGATATAAATGTTTGAGATTTAAAAATTATTGACTGAATATTGAAAAACTACTGAATATTTATTCTTAAAAATTGTGGAAATTAATGTACCTATTCAATGAAGAGTATTCTATTTCATAGGTCATTATGTTTTTAAGCGAGAATACATTATTGAAAAATATGACCATAATGAAAAAACATTTTAAAATAGATTATTTTAAAATAAACTAGGTTTTCCAAAAAATCCGTTAGCGGGAATCTTACTAAAACAGTGTTGCCACCATCGAAAATGAATTGTATGAAACACATATTCAAAAGAAATTAATATGAATTAAGGGAAAAAGTATATTTATGTAAATATATACAATAAGAAAGATAAAATATTATTATGTTTAAGCCCGTAAATAACAAAACGTCTTGAGATTATTACAGTGAGTGACTCGTTAAAAACTGATAATAAAAAAAGGGCAAGTTCCTAAACTCGGCGCTGTACTCATTGGTGAGCCATTAGACCATTCTTAAAGTCATCAATGGCCCAAAACTGTATTTCATTATGTTCGTTTATTCGTGGATTGAATGTTTACCACTCACTCATCCGTTCCATCGGCTTTTTGGGTCGGTAGATTCCTTAGACATACCCTCAACATAATTTAACTTTGGGTCAATTTATTATATATTTTTTTATATTTATTTTACTTCTCGTCTTCATTTTTTTCTGTTTTGAAACTAAACAATACCGTAGGTAAATATTTCCTTATAATTTTTGTCTTCATGGGTTTGTAACCTACTATGAGAGTTTAGATCCGTCAGAACCCTATATCATTAACTAATTTAGGGTAAGTTCCTTAGTTAGCGCTAAGTTCAGTGATAAATATCAAAAATCCATCAGGCCATTGCAAAACTCATCGATGGAACCATAATTGGAATTCAACGTGTTCTTTTATTCATCGATTAAATCACCGATAGCTCACCTAGATTTTTTTATTTTCCGTGTATTTTAAAACCTTGCAGAATTGTTTAATTTCCAGTAAGATCCAGCATATCTCGACTGAAGCGACTTATGAATTGTTTCATAAGATACATTTTCGGGATCCCCAGGCGTTCACACGTTTCACTCTGGTACTACGAGTTAAAGTGGCTTTATCCTACTACCCGACGACAATTCCTCCTTGGTTTTTTCCTTTTCCAAGTCTTCAGAACCAAAAACCCTCCCTACATCCCGGAACTCCTTACTCTACGCTCCTCCATTCACTCTATCAATACTTGGTCTCAACCTATAGACTTATATTTCCCTTTTATGAAATAAGTTTTATGAAACTTCCTCCTTCAGCAAATCCTTCGTCATTCGTGCTGCTTCCTTATGGAACTCACTTCCTACCTCCATGCATCAATCTTCGTCCACAAATTCCTTCAACCAACTTTGTTCCAACACCTACTCCACATTCAAACTTTCGCTAACATGTAAGATTACTTGCATCAGTACACTGTTTAAATTTCAATCTATTGCACAACTGAAATAACAATTAACAGTCAATTAGTTTGTATTTTAATTATTATATCAGAGTAAGACCCATACATTTGTAACTTTGTTATTATTCTTAGGGGACAGTAGTCCCAGAATAAAATCGCTATACTGTTGGTGTCAATTGATGGATTCCTTCGATGGAATTAGCGCTGAGATTAGGAACTTATACAAATTAAATATAATTATTTTTACGTCTGTCTACTGGTCTGTAGACGATCCAGCATGTCGTTTCTAAACTCCACATAAATCGCTGTACATCAATGTTGTTATCAATTGATGGAATAGTTCGATGGAATTAGCGCTGAGATTAGGAACTTACATAAACTAAATATAACTATTTTTAGGTCTATAACTGGTTTGTCTAATACAATTCCTTATTTTTTACTATTTTATTTTGACTAATCATCCCAATCATCCTTTTCTTCAATTATTCACTACAGTCAACCATTAACCCGCAATTATAACTATTTTGGGTTTCTGGGCTTTTGGAAATATTTGTTCCACTGTGCATATATACACTCATATATATATATATATATATATATACTTACCTTGCTAAGGAGTGACTTGTTGTCTTGTTTAAGTTGAGCTATCTTCTCTCTCTCCTTCCCCAGTTGGGCTTCGAAAGCAATAGCTTCGCTCCTTGCGAGAATGTAATTGTTTTTTTCGTTGTTTAATTCAGTCAGGGTCCTAGACAATGCCTCACTAAGGAGTTCTGTCTTTTCTTCCAGTATTTCCTTTTCCTATAAACGTAAAACGTTCTGATTAAAAAGAAAACCAAATAAAAATCAATTTATTTTTATTATTCTAAACAGAGGATATAGGTACACATTTATTTATATAAAAAAACTATACCCTCTTTAACCAGTGAAGGGATAAATGAGGTTCAGTTTTAGGTAAGGAAGTATTGTTCCATCTGAGTTGTTCATCTCAGAAAGCACTGGATTCCTGTTTCTCCAATTTGGATTCAAGTCCAACTGTGTCCAATATCATTACTTATTCTGTAATATCGTGCACATCCAGCCTCTCTAAAATAAATTTATCCTTAATTGAAGGAAAACTAGGAGGTTGAGCCTATTCTCAGACAAATAATCACCTTAAACAATCAACCATTAGTTTAAAAAAAATGTAAAAAACTGGATCATTTCGAAAATAAATGGCCGATATAATCTTTATGAAATTTCTAAAACGATTTGAAAGAAGATTTTAAAAGGAAATAAATTTTGTAAAACACGGCCGGGAAGATGGTGACCAGGCTCACATAATCACATAATGGATATAATTCCAAAAAAAATCGGAGTGTAGTTAAGTTCTTCCGGAAGTAAATAATTACGAACTATCCTCACACTTCTCTATTAATTCGATTTAACTATAATCTTTATATAATATTCAATGTCTGACATCCAAATAATTTAATCAAAATATGGATAGTTTTTATCCTTATCCTATATCACTCACATCTTTTCAGTTTATTTAACACAACAACAACAGATAACAATCTCTATGCAGCTAGAAATTGAAAAGTAACCAATATAAATAATCAAAAGAATTCTTCTTTTTTCTGGGAAGTTGTATGTTATTCTTTGTTTTTGGTGACTTCCAATTAAACAACAATTGAATTTATTTGTTGTATTTCCAAATTACATGTTAACGTTTCAGGATATTTACTTCCATCTTAAGAACTACAATTTCAATGTTTTTGTTGATTCATGGCTAAAAAATTGAGTGAAAATATAGTGCATGTTACAATACATGTCAGAATTGGGTTGATACATTAAATGTTTAATCACCTTAAATCTAATGTGCTCCATTGTCAGGCACAGAACCAAAAAAACAACAATAGAAAATTACTTGAAGCCATACCCATCACAAAAAACAATAGAACAACAGTAAATTATAAAACAGACACCAAACATTTAGGAACACATTATGCTGACATATTAAACAGAATTAAAATTGAATAAAAATGAAATTGCAGCTACATAAAAAATAAAAATTTAACAACAATAGTATAAAAATAAACTATAATTTCCAAAGATCAATTTTATTCACAATGGCAGACACCCAATAAATAATTGGTCTAAAAGCATGATGTAGCACTGGATGTTATATACCTTAATTTATTATAACATGAATTTAGAACCAGACAATGGAGCATATTAGATTTAAGGTGATTAACAACCCAATTCTGACACTTATTGTAACATGCACTATATTTTAACTCAGTTTTTTAGCCATCAATCAACAAAAAAACATTGGGATTGTAGTTCTGAAGATGGGAGTAAATATCCCGAAACGTTAACATGTGAACATGTAATTTGGAATTACAACAAATAAATTCAGTTATTGTTTAATTGGAAGTCATCATTGCCAAAAATAAATCAAAAGAATATTTTAGATATTCGTGAAAACCCGACCTCAACTGAACTAAAATCATTGGAAGAAATACTAAGTAGTCAAGAATTAATGCATTATGTAAAAATGAAAAAACAAGAATTTATAAGACACTTATCCGACCGGTTCTTACATATGGTTCAGAATGTTAGACATTGACTAAATAATAGGAAGAGGATTTTCCCAGATTCGAAAGAAAGGTATTAAGACCAGCGGTACCCATCCTCCCCTAATGTCGATGGCGCAAGACTTATTCCTCTGATTCCCAAGGTATTTTATTACTTACCTTTTCTTAAAAACATAGCAAGCGAAGGTAAAATTAGAAAAATCGTAGAAATATACAATTACACTTGCTAAGGTCTGTTCTATGATTTCCCCTTGTTCCTTAGTAAGGAACTTTTCACACTGAAAACTCATAACCCTGTTGAAATGTGCCCTCCTCCCCTCAAAAACTCGCCAAAATATGACCCCTCAAAAATTTTTATGGCGGTAGTTGCGCCATCAATTTCCTTTCAGCGTCCTCCTCGTTTAGTAATAATGCAGAAGTAATAATTAAGAACCTTATATGGAGATCTTGATGTATACATCTTAATTAGGTTATCAAGGAATCGTGTGAGGCGAGTAGCAAGGGTGGAACCAAATGAAATTCCACCTAAAACTTTTTCGAAGCGTGCACAAGATCTTCTTGTGGCACAAGAACAGTTGGACGTCCTATGTTTCGCTGGGAGGATGGGAAAGTGGAAGGCCGTGGCAGGAAATACAGCAGAATGGCAATCTACAATAGGCCAAGTTTTTACTCACAACGAGTGTGTCGTAACGTACTACTAATAATATTTTGTTTAACACAATCTTATACATTTCTATAAAGAAGCTTTCTTATGCAATCTGTTACACGAAGTTTTCATGATTCCATCAACAATCTGAGCTTGTGCCACAGCAGCCATATTGCTAGTCTTATTCTGCGTAACATGTTACACACATATTAAACCTTCCCATGAACTATCTATTTTTATCACATAAAATATAACTTTCTTTTAATGCAATAAAATATAATAATAATCAAAATAATGTTTACCAGTAATATTACATTTCTTCTTATGAAAACATACTTATTTGTTTATTCATTTAAGATATTTACAACTGCGCTATAGTGCATCTAACAAATTGTCCATGTTTTTTTTCCTCGATTTACTTGATATTATGCATAATTTAATAGTTAATTTAACATTTTTTTTGTAGAAACTAAATGTATATGTTTTTTTCTTAACGCTTTTCTTTTTTATTAATAAATAGAAGCTGCTATATAAACTGCCATAGAAGAACGTTCAAGTTGAGAAGCGAAGAAATAGTAAGTAAGTTTAAGGAAGGTGTTACGTGACTCGATAACCAAGTGTTATCACAAAGGGGAGGTAGCGAAAGAACTATGGAGGGTCAAGCCAATAGAGGAGATAACCGGAAGGTTAGAAGTGAATACCGAGTGAGCAAGATGGAATCGATTGCTTTATCTTTTGGTATGGGATAGCTCAGTAAGTAAGGCACTGTGCTTCTATTCTCAAGGTCTCAGGTTCGAATCCAGCTGTGTGTGATTCTTATTTATTCTGCTTTATCAATGATGTGAAGATCAGGCTGTGAAAATGATTTAAAATGGATCCATAATTCCTTCCAAAAAAATAGATATGATGAACGAATCCATAACAAACAAGTCGATATTTATAATTCATGAACGCTAAGTTAGAGGATGTATCGTCAACAGGTTGGATATACTTTAAAAAAATATTTAGGAGGACGGATTTAAATTTTAATGTGTTAATAGAATTAAATATTTTTGATTTAATTCTATAATACTAGTTTCATAGAACAGTGTTTCAAAGTAAATAATAAACTTAAAACCTTGATTGAGCACTGGTGTAATAACTGGCGCATTAAAGTTAATGAATCTAAATGCCAACATATTACCTTTACACTCCGACGCAATTCCTGTCCACCAATACTCTTTAATTCCATCCAGCTTCCTTTTTCAGACACAGTTCGGTATCTTGGCTTTCATTTAGACCGAAGACTAACTTGGAACCCGCATACTAGACTCAAAAGACAAGAACTCAACCGACGATACGGCCAACTATACCGACTACTAAGCAGAAAATCTAAACTTTCCATTGAAAACAAGCTACTGATCTACAAGACAATACTGAAACCTATTTGGACTTACGGACTAGAACTGTGGGGATCAGCAAAATTTTCTAACATCAAGCGCATCCAATCCTTCCAGTCTAAAGTCCTTCGAACAATAGTCGATGCTCCTTTCTATGTATCCAACAAAACCCTACATCATGACCTTAACATCCCATTTGTCCTAGACCTTATCCCAGAAAAATTCTCCAAATTTCACCAGAACCTTACTTACCACCCAAATCCTCTTGCACAATCCCTATCAAGCATCTCCCATCCCTATAATCCTCCAAGAAGGTTGAAACGGCAGTGGCCTCGCGACCTTTTGTAGATTGTATAAATTGGAGTTCTGGCAATGGCCAGATTCTTCACTCAAGACATGTGTGTATGTGGCTAAAGTGCTCTCGACCAATCTCCGCTGGCTTTAGTACCAGTGACGCGGTTGGGAGAGTAGCGCAGGGTTCTCCTGGAGTTCCCTCGCCTGATTGTGTATAGGTATGCATGTGTTTTTTTTTTTGTTTTTTTTTTCTTAGTTTTAATTTTCTTATTTTTTAGGTTATTTTATTTTATTGTCTATTGTATATACTTTTGATTATTATTTTGTTCTATTTATTTTATTTTTTTGTACATATGGTGTGAATGTCATCCTACCTCACTATAACCAATGTCCAACAGACAGATTGTTATAATACTCAATAAAGAAATTTAAAAAAAAAAAAAAAAAAAAATCTGGGAAAGAAAAGATTCAAGATCATAAGACCCTACTGTATAATTCCAGAAGTATACTAACAGCTTTGACAGTGTTGAATTCCTCTTGAAGCGCTGCTAGGAGGTTTTTCAAGAGGGTTATTTCTCGAATAGAGCTCGCCATTATTCGCTGATCGGATGACAGGAGTGACTTCAACGATACCACTTGCAGTTTCAAATTGTCTACCTGAAAAAAATTAATCAATGAACAATAATTGGTATGTGATAATTATACAAAAAGAGTTATTACTGTATGTATAATACAAATAAAAACTAAGTATTATTTTTTAAGTTAATCATGAACATTTAAAAGTATGGTATACATTCAATAGTAGCCAATGTTCTCTCTTGCCTTCTATAGTTTATAAGATCTCACGAGACTTGCATACTGGAGCGACATAACAATATAACTAAATTTTTAAGGAGCCTTACTCTACCTCGAACAGATATTGAATATTTATACTAAAAAAAAGTTCAAATTCAGAAGGCAAAGAACTCTCTCTTTTCTCAGTTGTGAATAAATTGACGATCCCAAATATGAACAATGTTTGGATTTCTTTGTTCTTATTAAAATTCCCACATATATTATTACAGTAAGGCACGAAATCTGTTTTGTACCAAATATAAGCTCCTGTCATGCTCAAATACCATGAATGGGGTACCGTTGGAATCAGAATTTCACGGGGGGTTAGCGAATCGTATTTTCCACTTTTGTTTTTCTTTCTAAAATAAATAAAGTCGATACAGACATTTTGCTAGGCTTCAATACTTGAACGGTGGTAGGTCTGTAGATCGATACGGGATAAATTGAATCTTGAAGATACGTACGTTTTTAAGCCAGAAAACGTACTATTTTCGAGATAACGCAAGGCATAGGGTTCACATCCAAACAACCTTACATTAATTGTAGTACTGGCATTGAATACATCTCTCATTTCGTCGACTTGAGGTCTCTATGATCGAGAGAGGAGGATTTTATATTGTTTATCGATGGTGCTTTTGATCGGCAAGCCATATCATCGTTAATTTTTCACCAAATCTAAAGATTGAGCCACCAATTTCGAAGGCTTCCTTCTCCTTCAGGCGGGCAAAATAGTCCAATCACCCCGAAAATTCAGGCAAACAAGTTATGAAAGGAAACAAACTTTATTTACGAGTAAATAAAAAATTACACACTTTTCCCTTTGTTATGCCCATGATTGTATAAAAGATTACAAAATGAAAAAAAAAATCATTGAAATCGGACAATATTTAGTAAAGATAGAGCTTACTGAAACTTGTATACATGTTGGTTCCAAACAGAAATGAAGATTTAAATTAATTTTTGTTTTCTTTGTCGCTTATATTTATTGCTAAAGGAACATTTGATTTCTTTATCTTTTGATACGTTGCATTATTTCCTTTTCTTATTAATTTGGAATTTGAAAACTAAATGATGTGCGAATTTTTCGCATGGGCCTACTAGTCTTATATATTATTTCTCAAATATTTATATCCCTTTTCCGGCTCTCAGGAGGGATAGATTTTGAGGAATGAGGTATCAATAGAAATAGAATATGACGTAGAGTGAGCGAATCGTATTTAAAAAAAAATTTATATCAGAACTCAAATAAAAGTGACGTAAAAAAAATCATCGAAATCGGACGATTTGGTTTATAGTTATAGCATTCTGAAAATTTAGTATTTGTTGTACTGCAAATACTACGTTGCTGCATATGAGAATTTCAGATTTTGGGAATATGGGAATTAATAATTATGTTTTTAATTTCATAACATTGCATTCTTTTTATTAATTTTATTTTTATTATTAATAAATAAATATGTCTTCCTTAAAATCCTTCTTGGAATGTTTGTCAATGTGCTTCAATTACTTTAGCTTTTTCTTTTAGATCTTCTTTATTGAAGTTTATCATTTTAAAAATACACTTTTTTTTTATTAATAAAAAAATGGTAACATACATCCTGATTGCACTAACTATTTCTCCCTGAGAATTTGAGCCTTTTGTGTCTTTTGCCGTCATCAGATGTTTAAAGCAATGTTTTTAAGCTTCTGTTAATTTATGATAATCTAATGGAGGAAAAACCTAATATTTAAATTATAATTTTAAGGAAATGCAATGTTATGCCTATGGCAGATTGTAAATCATATTTATAACTGATGGCTTACTAAATATAAGTAATAAACCTTTACATATCAAACGTTATTGAATGGAAGTTGTGCTGAACCCTTAATAAATTAAAATCAAATACAAATTTGTGCGGAGTATTCACACGGGTCAGCTAGTACAGATGTATTTCGAAAATTATTTAATACAAACAGAATCGAATTCTTACCTTTGTACGAGAGAATATCTACTTCTTAGCAGTAGAGCACTAAAATTCGATATTAACAATCGATTCAATTTTCTCTTTGTTATTCATTTAGTATAACCTCTTTTTTATGCTATCGCTGTTTTCATGTTAATTGTTTAATAAGTGGACAAGGTATTAAAATTTTAACAAGTACATTCTTTTCTGAGGAAAATTCTCTCTCATTCTCTTAGAGTAAACAATGGAAATGATTTAGCTATTTAATAACAGTGCCTAAAGATGGTTATGAAGGAATATCTCTTGTCTGTCAAATCTTGTAAAATTTGAGCTTCCATCAAGCCACATAATGATATTGTTTTAGTGTGAATACCGTTTTTAGAATGTGGGATGTATGCTAGGATTAATAAAAATACGGTGAGACTTCATATTGCCTATGAATTGATCGCGACTTTTCCATCGTTCAGAAATGATTGTGCTACCAGCAACAATTTAAGTAAGTCGATAATATAAAGGTTTTAGACAAACAATATTGTTCTATGACAAAGAAATATTGGTACCACAATAAATTATCAAGATTTCTTGATCACGCTATAACTCGATGTAATTTCGAGAAGAATCCGAGATTGATAACCTGTTCATAATATAACCTCTCTTTATTTAGATTGCAATTCACGACTTCGGCAAATCTTTTCAATTGAATTCATTAGCTGTAATAAACAACGATGTAGCTTACGAATCTCGTTCGCTTTAAACAAATCTCACAAAAAGTTCTTTTCTGTCAAGATCGAGGCCTTACTAGACGATTCGGCCACTTTCGGAGACAATCGACCATTCTCGGGACTCCATTAATAGTGTGATCATGAGATCTTGTGACACTTATACATTAGTACCTAAATTATCTTTACCCAAACCCAAGATCCTTCGATTACTCCCATACCTCTACCTGTATACTTTATCCATCTGTTAGATTTGCTCTAACCGACGTTCACAACAGATCCAGTAACACTTGAAATCTATTAACTTGTAGAGAAATTATATCAATATAGTCCGTGGTACAGACCCCCTTTTTATCGAATTATTAACATCCGCTTGAAACTTCGTAAATAGTTTCATCTCATAGTAACCTACAACAATTTTATTTACGAAAACTCTTGGAATTGGTGCGTTTTCAATGTGGAGGGGGGCTCAACTTTGTCAATTTAATTAGGTACTAAAAACTCGTAACTACTCATTTATTTTCTACTTTGATCGTAAGATAATTTGATCACCAAAATAGAGAAAAAAAGGTGGCCTTCAAAAATATTGAGCCGTTTGGCGTGACCTACAGCCACAAAATTTTCAAAATAACGAAGTTACATATGACAAATGGCACAATATTTTTGTAGGCCACCTTTTTTATCGATTTTGTGATCAAATTATCTTACGATTAAAATAGAAAGCAAACGAGTATTTCCGGGGCACACCCAGCCTTTATAAAGTGGGTATGAGTGGAGTGGGTAGAGGTTGAATGTGATCTCGGTCAAATCACCTCCTTGCACAACCTTTCACCAAGAAACTGTATTTTCTCTAAATAGTGCTGTACTCAAGATCCTACATGGGTTGTAATGGCATAATTTTTTTTTTAACATATTAAAAGTATCCCATCGCAACCATAGCATATAAGAGACTTTCGGCAAGAGTTACTGTTTATCTCAAAGACTCAATATTAGGTCTTTATAACAAAGCGCGTTTTAGTTCCGAAGAGGGAGGGGGAGGGAGGATAAGTGAATCATGATTTTGGTGTTAAAATCTTTAAAACACAATCTATTTCGTCTCGATCCCTCGAGTTTTGAAACAATCTGAGTTTTGATACCTTTCATTTTATTGTAGCTGTTGTTGGAATTTAAGTTTTAAAATTAGCATTCCAAATGAATTAGCATACCGATTTATACCTCATAATTAAAATATTGTTGCTACAAAGAGCAGGAAAAGGATGTTATACTACCAACTTATATATTGTGAAGATAGATGGCATTACCTGTGCGTTTTTGAACGTCAGCTGGACTTCCTGCGACTCCGAACCCTCTCTCTTTCGTTCCAGAGCATTTTTCAGAAAACGGCTGAAAGCCAAATATGCCAAAAACTTCGACCTCGAATCGGTAATATCCAAGTCATCTGACATTATATCTGCGCCTTCGTGACATGAAGAAATCCTTCAAAGAACAATAAAATAATGCAGTTACTCCTTTGAAATAACAAGAATGAACAACTAGTTACATACAAGTTGCGTAACCTGACAGACAATGGCCATACCTGGTTTTTGGATAGCAAGTCAGTTTCACGTCCTCTCCCAAACTAGCCACCCGATTACATTTCTTCACATCGTCAATTTGAGGACTAGGTACCCGCGAAGAGGTACATGATGAACTATTTACAGATGTGACTTGATTCAACACTGATTTTAACCTCACATTTTTCAATAGCCTTCCGTGATGTTTTGTTTTATGGAACCTTATCTTTTTCTTCGAATTGTATTTTTCTATTTGGATTCCACGTTTTAAACTCACTCTTCCATTTTCCATCATTACACAGATTGATCGAAATTATGTATTCAGTGTAAACTGGTAGTTGGAGTTGACATAATATTTTCTCGTTGGTAAAGACGTCTTAGTCCAGCTGTTGTCTTGAACTAAGAGGAATATCCGAGGCAATTTGCGCATTTTATGGTGTTTATAATTGTAATTTTAATTTATCATTTTAGAGTGTGATTTGAATTTGATATGTCATACTTCGTATATGTAATTTTATTTTTATTTTTTAAGTAATAAAAAACATTTTTTATTCGTAATATTAAATATTTTGTAATCATATTGCTCTCCAATATAAAAACGTATATATATATTTTTTAATTATAATTTCATATTAATGAATATTTTTTGTAATCTTTAATTTGTGGATTGATATTGTTACGATAAAGATATTCTACATTTACAGTTGCATTTATTATACTACTCATTTTTTTTCAAAGTATTGTATTAAGTAATGAATATTTTAAACTCATGGATGAAACTGTAGGATATCCATAGCACAGTAAGTAGACCCATTTCTTTTTTAATGACAGCATCAATTTTCGATATTTATCTTTCAATTTTTTTTATACTTCATAGTTTTATTTTATTATGTAAAGCTTGCTTGCATTTATTAGTTTTTGTGTCATAAAAAGTTCGATGAGACAAAAATCGGTGCAAATAAATCTAATTGGCTTCATTGTTTATTTGTTGTTTCCAAGGAAACTTGTTCATATTAAGCAGACCCTACACGGTAATTCATGAATGAACGTCACAAGAAGTTCCAAGATTGCCCGCTATCGCTTTGATCATGAAGACCCTTACACGTTCAATCATTACTGATCATTACTTATGTGAAGTTTCCAGTTTTTTTTCTCTCCAATTTATTGCCTACTTGACTATTTAAAGAAAAAATAGTTGAAAATGGTTAATAATAATATAGACTAGGGATATAAACAACTATTTACTTTTATGAAATTATTTACTTAATAACTAGACCTAGGTAAACTAACCTATCTAGTAGTAAGGTTAGTCTCATATCGTTTTGATAAAAGTTAGTAAAATATAAGTCTACTACTTACAAAAATTAAGGAAAAGTATTGCGAAAATAATAAATGTGTTGAGGAAAATGGGAAAAGAACTGATAAATATACACAACGTTAAAGTTTTTTTTTCCTAAAGTAAATTGTAAAGTTTGCTCATTTTTTTTTTTAATTTGTTGCCCACTTGACTATTTAAAAGAAATAGTTGAAGATGGTTAAAAATTATAAACAAGGGATATAAAAAATTATTTTACTATTTACATATAATGAAAATCAGAAATTTATAATGGTTGTGAGGCCTAGGTAACCTAACCTATTCAGCAGTACGGTCAGTCTCCCCACTACTTTTACCTCAGGCCCCCCCCCTCCACTTCTCGTGAATGAACCTTTGATTTCCGGATGTTCGGAAATCCGCAGCGCACCACCATCAGTACTTCATTCACTACCTTACACGACAATTCGGAACGTCATTAGTGCAATTCCGATTGACCGTGTAGGGTCCCCTTTAGGCCCGTTCTAGTATCAGTTTTGACAGCAAACTGTTACGCGCATGCGCAATACCGCTTTTACGTTTCAGAACATGTACCCCGCATGTAGCTGCCAAGAACAAGGTTTTAAAAATGACATTGGCTTTCATTTAGACCGAAGACTAACGTGGAACCCCCATACTAGACTCAAAAGACATGAACTCAACCGACGATACGGCCAGCTATACAGACTACTAAGCAGAAAATCTAAACTTTCTATTGAAAACAAATTACTTATCTACAAGACAATACTGAAACCTATATGGACATACGGACTTGAACTGTGGGGGACAGCATAATTTTCTAACATCAAACGTATTCAATCCTTTCAATCTAAAGTCCTTCGAACAATAGTTGATACTCTGTTCTATGTAACTAACAAAACCCTACACACCATGACCTTAATATCTCATTTGTCCTAGACCTTATCCCAGAAAAATTCTCCAAATTTCACCAGAACCTTACCTATCATCCAAATCCCCTTGCAGAATCTCTATCCAGCACCACCCATCCTTACAATCCTCCTCGAAGGTTGAAGCGGCAGTGGCCCAGAGACCTTCTGTGAATAAGCATATATTGGAGTTTTGGCAATGGCCAGATCCTCCAGTCAAGCCAAGTATGTGTGATTAAGTTAGTTCTTTTGTTTATATACATTTATTTTTATTATTATTAGTTTCTTTATTTTTTATTTTTACTTATTGTAAATAGAGTGTGAGTGTGCTCTCTGAACACTATTATAAATGTTCTTGATGTGACAGAATGTAATATTTCTAAATAAACAAATATAAAAAAAATATAATAAAAAATATATTATTTCGCTAGTGTTGGTCTACTTGAATGGCTGGGCCAAGATCACACATTCACACTATAATTTCGAGAACAGTCGAGTATTGACAACAAGTTCAAGATATAACCTTTCTATAATTACATCTGTTTTGAAGGCTTTCATAAATTCCCAATTGTACCTTTTCAGTTAAAATCGAGACCTTAATTAGTTTTAATTTCATCACTATTTTCAACTTACACTCTCTCAAAAGGATAGACCGAACTTTAAAGGGTTCTTTTCAGTTGTGGTTGGGGCTTTACCAGAAGGCTCCATTTACTTTCAAACACTTTTCGGAATTCCATTTATTGTCCACAGAAGTGGAGGCGAGACTGAAGAAAATTATGAATTGCTTCATAAGATTCATATTTGGGATTCCCAAGCGTTCTCATATTCCTTGTTGGTACACCGAGTTTAAGTGGCTATATCCCACTTCCCGGCGGCAATTCCTCCTTGGTGTTTTTCTTTTTCAAGTTCTCAGAAGCAAAAACCTCCCTACATCTTAGAACTCCTTACTTTACGCTCCTCTATCCACGCTCTCAATACCAGATCTCAAACTATAGATTTATATATTCCCTACCATAAAACTACTTCCTTCAGTAAATCCTTCGTCATTCGTGCTACCTCCTTATGGAACTCCTTACCCACCTCCATTCGTCAAACCACGTCCATAAACTCCTTCAAACAACTCCTGTTCCACCACCTACTACAAATTCTAACTTCCGCAAGCTTGTAAAAATTTCTGGGTTATATAATTACGTTGGTCACCAGTAATGGTAGAATTCATTAATTGGTAGAAGTCATTTTATTTCTATTTATTAATTTTTTTATATCTCAGTATTTTATTGTATATATCTGTGTTTATCGTTAGTATGTTTTTTAGATATTTATAATTTTTTTTTATATACTTGTATTTTCCTTAGTATCTTTATGTGTATAATATATATGTGCTTACAATTTCCTAGATATTATTTTGTATATATTTGTATGATACTTATATGCCAGAGTAATGTACATATTTTTTAAACTCAACTATTATTCGAAGGGGACTTCAGTCCAAAAATAAAATTATTTTTCATTTCATGTCATTTATAGCGTGATCCTGAGATCTTGGGCACCCATCAGCAAAACAGTACCCTCTCTCCCACTCCCCAAAAAATAAAATGAATGTTTCTTATGTTAAATCGAGAAATAATCATTTCAAGCGTTGGGGCTAACGTTCCAATTATTTTTTTAACGAGTTCCAGTTATTTGAATAGAAAATGAAAATTTGAAAAGAATTCGTAAGGATCATTTTTTTTATCTGACGCGGTTCGTTTCGTTCGTTAGTTATAGTAATGGTGCGATTAATTTTTTTTTTAACTACTTTCAGTTTTATCTGAGGATAATATTAAAAAGTCTTCCCATCAGCTGATGTGAAGTGTAAACACAACGATTTATATCGATTTCAAGTTAAGATAAGACAATGTTATTTACCAGAAGGTCGAAAATAATTATTTACTTTGTATATATATATTCCCTAATGTCAGCCATTATAGGTATAAATCGAATCGACATCAGTTGCAGTCACAAATATTCGCTCTTTAGTAGAGTCATAACAACAATGATTTATTTTTGCTGGAGTCCCCTCCCCCAAAAGTTCAAAAATAATCATTAGGTAATAATAAAAATAAAGTAGTTGAATGTTTCTTTTACATTGTGTAAGCGTTTAATAAAATATTACAACAAAAGCGTTTAAAAATCATTACAACAATATACTATTTTCTATCCTTAAGATTACAATAATTTAATTAACAATAAAAATACTTTATTTCTTTAAATAGTTAAAATTTCTCTTTACACCAGCTGCGGATTCTTGAAAAACATTCTTTCTGCTTGTGAACGTTTTGGTAAGCAACAGTACAATCAGATGTGTAGAGAAAGTCTTATAAAGATTGGTCAATTCTTAGTCTAAAAAAAATAATAATATATAAATAAAACAAATAATTGATGTATGTTTCTTAATAATTATATATAATGCAACTGTTTTATTCCTAGCGTCGTATTTCCCAGCATCCTCCCTGCTTCATGTCATCCAATCCAGCCACCCTCATACATCTCCGATCTCCCTCAATTCAAATCCTCTGTTCACTCCCGCAATACTCGTTCCAGGTCTTCTGATTTATACACAAGGGCCCACCGAACGGCTGCTTTCGACAGATCGTTAATTATCCGATGCTCATCCCTATGAAACTCCATCCCTCCCTACATTCGTCAATCCGATTTCCTTCCTACCTTAAATCCCACCTGTTCAATCATTTCTTATCCATTCAGTCACCATAAAATTACAAATAGATAATAATATACATATATTTATATAAACTAGTTGGCCCGTTCAAAATTCACAGAAAATTTTGTGAAGAAATAGTAAAACAATATGAAAATAAATAGTTCCTATTTATTATGCAAGGAAGGAATTAATATTTTTTCCTTGGTCGATTATAATATTCCATTAAACATAATAGACCAAAACATTTGTACGAATTGCTTTGCTAGGATCTATTTTTAAACGCTGATTGGAAAGATAATAAAAGTAATATAGAAAAATTAATGTCCCGATCACAGGATATTCTAAATTATTTAAAAAAATAAAATGTAAGAACAACCAAATGTCTTTAAGAAATAATAAAGTTAATAAATCAGCCAGAAAAAAACAATGTAGTAGACTATTCTATTCCTATTTTTTTTTTAATTTTATTTTATTGAGATTTACAACTGTATTACATGGAAAATACAATAAGTAAATGTGACATTGGTAACATGACATGTACAACATGAAGAGAAAATTCTATTCCTAAATCCAATATCTTTAAATCAGAAGACATTATTAAGTATACCAAAAATAATAGACTGTATCTATGTTATTAATTG